GAAGGGAGGGAGGAAAGGAGGAGAACGAAAGGAATGAAAACACAACATCACAAAAAACAATTCCTCGGTTAAATGCAGTGCAGACTGCAAGAAGCGCGCAGAATGGAACCAGCTGGCTGGTTAAACCAGCTCGTATAACATACAGGATCTGCAGTATACCAGTACTGCTAAATAGCTGATCTCATACAGTATTTCGGCGTAAACGTTAGGTATCCTATACAGTAAATTGGGACGTCCTGGTGGTATCCTATACAGAAATATCGCATATATAATACAGAATTTTAAGACATCCTATACAGTCAATTCCGTATATAGTACACAGTTTATCGATATAAAGTACAGGTGGCCTCACATTCGCCAGCTATCCTGTACAGAAGATCTCACGTATCGCTGCTATCCTGCGCAAAAAAGTGGGCACTGGTGCATGTACAACATAGCTCCAGTACATGTACTCAAGTGTTTCAGTAATGTTTCTCGTACACATTCATTCGTTATCTTGTACACATAATCTCTACATCCAGATGCTATACTGACCGCAACCTATCCAAAAAAGTGGGGCATTGTTACAAGCATAACGTAGCTCCAGTACATGTATGCTGAAGCTCCTATGTTGTTCTTTAACCTACTTTTAACAAGAAAACCATCAATCATTATTTGATCTATTGTATGACAGGACCACGAATGACCATCATCGCTGAGGAATTGAAGAAACAGCAACAAGCGAAAGACCACAAAAAAGTCAGATTACAGGTAATTTTTCAGCAAATTTCGTATGATGGCAATTGATACAAGTAAACACCCAGTGTTGCTCGTGTGTTGCTTGAATAACGCACACTTCCCAACAGTGCCTGCCCACCTTATACAAGTAGTGACTGCTTCTGTGTGCAGTACTTGAACATTTGCCGTAGATTACTTGTATTAAAGAGCTGCCACACCGAGTTCAAGTAACGTCCGGAAGACTTTCGTGCAACATAGCCCGATCGCTCGTGCAGTCGTCGAGAAACGTGGGGCGGGGCCAGAGCTTCGAGTTTCGCGACAGGAACTGCCCATCGTGTGGTGGGACAGCTGTTTCATCGCATCCCCTGCTGCCAGGCGGTCGATAGCAGAGTGGGACTTATGGGGGGCGAGGAGAGGGGGAAGGGCGGGAGGTTGGTTTATAGTGGTTGATTCTGGTAGTTGGGACTGGTGGACCGCCTGTGATTCGGAGAACACCTTTTTTCTGTGGGGTGTTTTGTTTTATCTATTGCCTCAGTGCGTACTTGATAGCTGCTGCAAATTTGTATGTTGTAACGAGCCACAAAACTTGTCTTTATGAGGCTCCAGTAAGGTCTGGCGAAGATTTACTGTTGTAGGAATTGAAAAAAGCAGTTAAATTGATTGTTTTGGCTAATTGATGAATACCCGATAGAAGTATTATAGCAGTCATAGATTAGTAATGCTAATCCAGGATTACATTTCCATCCCCACCTTGCAAGCAGCAGAAAATGCGCATTGGTTGAAAAATGATATTGGTTTGTTCTTTGTTATGAAGTGACTTGTTTGATGGAGGTTTTTTAATTTTTTATTGAATAAAGCATTCACTAAGTTCTGTATTAATAAGCAATATAGAAGTTGGCAATATAGAAGCAATATAGAAGTAGGGATAAAGTTGGTAGAATAG